GCTGTCAATCATATTCTTTTGGTGGATGAATGACCTATTGAGACTGGGCAGTAATCGACCGCTGACCGAAGAGGATTTATTTCCTCTTCTTGAAGGCTACGAAGCCGAGGTGGTGGTAAGGAAAGCGGAGAAATGTTGGTTGGACGAATTAAAAAAGAGTCAATCAGGAGACAAAAAACCGCGGCTGTGGAAAGCAATGTTGAGATTGATCCCTTGGAAATCAGCTGTTATGATTATCGTCTTAAGAACATTCTGGGCTTTGAGCTTTGCGTTTCAGCCTTTGTCTCTTTGGCTTCTGTTGAAGACGTTGAATGATGAGCCAAATATGGACATGAAGCTCGCCATAATCAGTGTGGTACTGTTGGGAACAGCAACCTTAGTGAAAGTTATATCAACGCATCACTATGACTACCTTACTGAATTGTGGGCATTGAAGCTGAAGGTGGCGTTAATTGGACTCGTTTACAAGAAGGTAAATTTGTAAAGTACTTTGAAAATTGGCGTACAACTTGGTACTTGGATGTAATGTAATAATTCCTAACATATCCCAGGCGTATCATTTTGTTCCATGCAAAAGCTCAAAAGAATGAGTTTCATTCCGTGCTCAAAATCGCAATGAATCCTCACTCCACTAACCACACAGCTAACGACATGCAATTTTAACTGCCCATCGAAAAAGTCTTATCCAACTGAGACTCAATCCGTAAGACCAGAGAAGCTTTTTTCAGTTTTTAAAGGCCGAGCGATTGATCCTCATGGTCTCCTTGAAGCTCACAGTTTCCTCGAGCTTCGCTTTCGAAAAGCTGTTCGCTCCTCGGAACAGATAATTACTGCGGACAAATATCCGAGCTTATTATATAGACACGAGTGTTTTGCTGGAAAAAGCACCACTCGTTAAATTCATACGAAACCACATCCCGGACTCGGGTGTCGTATTTTCCATTTTATCTCATACTTACTGAGATTTTTGGATAGAGTCGACTGCATGAAAAACTCATACGGAAATTTCTTTATCCAATCACAATTGCGAAACGACTTCCTCACACGTAGGAAAAGCGCTTCATCCAATCAGACATCAGCTCTCAAAATGAATCAGTCCGCAACGCGTTCCCAGAAGTTTGTTAAGTTTGCACAAGTTTACTCCAGTTTTCTCGCAAATTAGCTATAAACCACAGACAATGGCGGAAAGTTCGAACAGGTTTATCGCTTTAGATAAACCCCTTAAAAAGTACTTCCAGGAACGGAGGAACAAAAAGACTCGAGCAAAAACCCGATGAGACGTTAAGGTTAGCTTTCTTAGCGAATTCCTCTAAAAAAAAGGAAAAGGCAGGGAAAGTTTTAAAGAAGGCAAATATGCCGTAAGCATTATCGACGNGAACAAAAAGACTCGAGCAAAAACCCGATGAGACGTTAAGGTTAGCTTTCTTAGCGAATTCCTCTAAAAAAAAGGAAAAGGCAGGGAAAGTTTTAAAGAAGGCAAATATGCCGTAAGCATTATCGACGAGAAAGAGTTTTACCAAGCAAGGAAATGTCTGGAAGCTTGGAGCAAACGACTTAAAAAAAGCAAGACAAGGGAAACAAATCAAACGTAGCTGAAGCGTTGACTGATGACGAAAATGTTTACACTAGGTTCTTGAAGAAGCGACAAAGTGCTTGCACTCAGACGGAATAAAAACATAACTTGACATTTGTTCTGCCGAATGAAGGGTGAAAATCTGGTTGGGGGTGAAAATCTCAGTAAGTATACAATAAAAAAAATAATAATAAAGCATTGAAAGTGCTTTGTACGGTATTTACGCACTCGTTTTTGTATCAGAAAACTCACTCGTTCGCTACGCTCACTTGTTTGTTTTCTGATACGTCAACAACTGGTGCGTAAATACCGTACGCACGCACTTGTTATGAAGTAATGTGTACTTATTGACTGAGTAAGGTCGGGCCGGACGGGAAAATATTTGTTTCTCGGTCAGGACGCACGGACCGAGTGCAGCGACATATTTTTGACAGCTTTATGTCAACTTTCTGTTGGCATTTTAGCATGAATTGTAGATGTGGACACACATTGAAAAACAAATATGAGAAAATGAGTCGTGTTTTTTGATGAATTGTGAGTTTCTTGTTCGACGCGAAGAAATAAATGACACTGAGCTTTTATTGTAGAATCTTCTCTGTAGTTTTTCCGCGCACGGCCGTCTGATGTTACTGATTTAATCGCGTCCTATTTAGGTTCAACCGTTAAGTGGCCAAAATTTTATTCTCTTCAAAATTAGTGATGAAAGTGAACATTCTGAAAGCGAAGTTTACTATCCAGGCGAACTGTCCGATGTAGAACTACTTCAGTCCCCAACTCACTCCGAAAGCACAGAAAGAAAGTTAACAGTCCTCACAACTGAAGAAGTTCACAACTTTCTCAGAAGCCAACAACAAGCAAACAGGCGGTCAAGCAAACAACTTTTCCGGATGAATCAAACAGTTAATTATCGGACAGTGTCTGACAATTAACCTTCAGAATAAGCAAACAGTCTTGAGGCGAAACTTCTTTCAGTGGAAAGCATCAAAGATTTTATCGTGGGTCAAAAGCAAGAAAACCGGCAAGTCGCGAAGAAAACAAAGTACGACA